CCGCCCTCGCTGGACGCCTCCTGTAATTTAAAGTGACAGTGACACGAAAGGACAGTTCATGAGATCAGTACAATTTTAAAGGAATCGTCATGTTCGTTTGTCAGGGGGTCTTGACATCACATGAAATGAGACTCGACTCGAGACAGAAAGATAAATCCATACAATTGCCGATCATCCGACAATCCTATATCTAATTCAGTAATATTAAATGTCTCCCCTGGGAGACATAGTTTCTAGCTACAGAATGCAACCTTAAATACAATGCAATAGGCACCTTTTCCCCTGGAAGACATAGCTATTACCTACAGAATCTAGCCGCATTGATGACTACTTATTATGACTCCCTCGCTTCGTTTTTGTATAGACTGTAGTCATTATTCTCGGATTAGTATAATACAAGTGAACTTTCCGGGAAAACACCGTATCAAACTCCATTGCGAGATTTCGAAGAATAAGTATACAGACCGGCGCTGAAAACAACATGTTTCATACTATTGTTGGAGTATAGATTTGTCAACATCCCAAAAGAAAGATCTCATCCTAAAGTATTTGACGGAAAATTTAAATTTGTACCCAATGCGTTAATTCGGCCTTTGTTTTAAAAAAAAACTTATCCCTGGTGACTTCCCCTGTGACGATTTTAAGAAAAGCCCAGTAACAACGGTCAAGGTTCATAAAAAAAATTAACAAAGTTTAGTAAAATTATCTTAAACCAAATAAAATAATTGCAAATAAATAAAGCTTGTTTCTGCTTATCGTTTTTCTACGAAGTCATACAATTTTCGTAAAATAATAAAAAAGCTTTTGAATACTCAATACAAAAAATTAACCATTGTCAATTTCAGAAACATCAACTCCGCGTCCTTGCGTTGCACAAGCAATGTAGGTCGATACACTTTAATTTGATAAAAGGTTATTTCCCGCATTACCCGCATTCCGATAGAAGCTATCACTTTGAATTATATGTCTGTGTATTTGTTTTATTTTTGTTAAAGGGTATTCAACTAATGATATTCCTAATTTCACTAGTATACAGTGCACAGTTAGTGTATCAGTCTCAATACAACAGGTCAACCTGTCAACAAGTTGTATAAAATTAATAGACATTATCTCTATACAACAGTACGTGACTGATGATGTGGACTATGAGCAAACGAAGTGGTTACTTTCTCTATGGATTGTGACGGTCTTCCTACAGAAAAGTTAGGCACGGTTTCAAACCTTGTTTAGTCAAATTTTGTATGAAATTTTTCTTAATCTCGTATTCAACGCATGTCCAATTTTTTTGTTGCAATAAGGCGAGTGTTTACAATACAATATCAAAATCCAACGCGAACAAATTTAATGTGGCAGTTATTTTCTTAAAACACAATTCGAAAATAGAAATCTACGAATTAATAAGGCATATTCACTAAGTCATAGAAAGTTAATAAAAGAACTGGGCGAGTCCCACAAAAAGAAAAAATTACGAACGAACGAAATGCGATGTATTCCAAACTATCAAATATTGACGATTCCATTATAAAGTACTTGAACTTGGCATTAGTTGATAAAATACTTATTCTAATCAATCAAACTTTTACTAAGATATCTATCTAAGATATTGATAAAAACCATCTATTACAAGTCGGGCACAATCCGATAACATTGTTACCTATTTATTCTTTCGTTGTATTTGATTTCTGATATATGTTTTATCGTCTGTGTTGTACCAATGGTATTTACGAATAATCAGCGTTTCATTTCAACGATTAAGCTCAAGTGATAATGTATTGTAAATTGAAAGGCAGTAAGCACAAATTAGTTGAACTATAACCGATTACAAAAATAATTGAATGCTCCAGCCTGCCTTATTACGATAAATAATTCAGATATAATGCGATTCAACTAAGAATAGGACCGGCTGGGCGCCATATTTTGATGTCATAACTATCAATCCAAACCAAATAGGTAGAGTGAGCAAAAAATGTTGCTATTTAATAAAACTTATTTACTAAAATTAAGTGAGACAAAACATCAGATTTTTTAATAAAATTAATTTACTAAAGTTGAGAAAGAACACAACCGAATTTTAATAGTATTTCTTTATATTAAGACTGTGTTAAAAAAAATATTAATCACAATCTAGCTCTTCAATTTCGCTCATCTCTGCATTACCGCTGGAGAAGTTATGAATAATCATGCAGGTCACATACGAACATGCATCCTACATTTAAACGAAAGTTTCAAATCGAGTTTTTGAACGCAACTTAAAGTGACATTTGGTTGACGATTTAGGTTATCAACCATTCATAGCTAACTCAATAAATGGAAAAAAAAACAACGATTATTAATTATCAACATTTGTTATTGTTTGTTTAAAAATGTTTGGTTTTTATTCTAGAATCAGCGGAGTGCTAAAAAAGTGTTCCGAGATTTTTTTGCAAACCGTACTTTTCATGGGACATTTGACAGATGGAGGTCATTGGCTTTCCTATTCTTATTTGAAACGTATTATGAATGTCCACAGAGAAAAAGTACCTGCAGGACACCTTCTTCACCTTAACAATTAGTTGCAACTGGTTTTGTTAGCAAAAACATGCCCAAAACTTAGTAAAAACCACGGAATAGATAAAACAGATATAAACAAATACTCAAGTACCTGGGGAATTTGCGCATTTAATAAGTATTTAGTGGAATATCTTATCTGTTTTGCGATTTCCTGATAAGGGTTATAAACCTCGTTGGTACCAGATAGGCCAAGAACCAAAGAGTTTAGTAAGAACGACAAACAACGTCAAGCTATGCTGCGCTGTGCTAAATATGGTCTCCCTGCCTTACCTGTGGATGAGCCCAGTTCAGTTGTCATCGTACTAATTTTGATATTGTTTTTACGCCATAGAATACCCATTGCTTTTTGCAGGTTTTTATGAGAAAAAAGTTCCTTCCCCGGAGGGGCTTTAAATATTCCAGAAATCATCATCATCATCAGCCTATTAATGTCCCCACTGCTGGGGCACAGGCCTTCCCTATGGATGGAATAGGGAGATTGGGCCATGACCCACCACGCGGGCTCAGTGCGGATTGGTGGGTACTACGACTGCAGATGCAGCCGGGACCAACGGCTTAACGTGCCTTCCGAAGCACGGAGGAGCTCAAGATAGTAATTTTTGGTCACCCATCCAATGACCGACCACTGCGAAAGTTGCTGAATTTCAACGATCGCAGCCGAACGCGCTAACCACTTGCGCCATCGATTCCAGAAATACTTACCCGTTTTAGTAATTAGATAAAAGTAAAAGTCATGAGCAGCTCGATGGCGCAGGTGGTTAGCATTGTTCTGTTGCGATTGTTGAAGTTAAGCAACTTTCGCAGTGGTCGATCATTGGATGGGTGACCAAAAATCTTCTATCTCGAGTTCCTTCATGCTTCAGACGGCACGTTAAGCCGCTGGTCCTGGCTGCATCTGCAGTCGTTAGCACCCGCCAATCATAGCATGACCCAATCTCCCTATTCCTTCCATAGGGAAGGCCTGTGCCCCAGCAGTGGGGACATTAATAAGCTGATATTGATGACGAATGAAGTCATGCTAACAGTAGTCGTTTCGTACATAATCACCAGCTTATCGCCACATGGTGGTCCTTTCAGTTATATTGACGATTTAATATTATACGTACCTAACTTACAGATACCAACAACACTTCATTATGATGTCAAAAGATAAAAGGAAACAGTTTATTATGGAAGCGCTTTTACAGTGGCGCGGCGGTCAAAACACTGGTGATTAGCTACTTATCAGATAACCACCAGTCAACATGATACTGTTTTTATGAAATTTGCCATTATGCATTTGGTACGTTATATTATTATATTACGTACTAGCGAATCGTTCTGACTTTGCACTGAAGAAAATGAGAAGCTTCGCGCTAAGCAGCTTAGAGGGTATTTGCAAGGTTCTTTAGCCATTATGCCGTAAAGCGCCGGTAAGGGTTACGGGGTCCTCAGTGGGCAGCCACTGCTTGGGCTCGTAAGGCTTGCGAGAGCCAGGTGTGAGGTCCGTTCGGCGGTGTGCCTTTTAAAGGCGCCGTCGTCTGTAAATAGTATTTTTTTGCCTAAAAATAAAAAATAAAATCCCATTTTATTCCCAAGTATTTCGCTGCCACAGGTAGCTCTTTGAATGTTGACGAAAGCCATGGGGTAACGTAATACGGTATATGATGCTATCATATTCCTGAAAAGTAGCATGCGCCTTCGTGCCAAAATTCAAACTTGTAGATTGTCAGAACACTACGTTAAACCGGTTCGTTCCGAAAAATTCTTTCATATGTACAAATGAAGTCTTGTCAGCCGCTGATGCATTAAAACTATTTACAATCATTAGCCTACGATTCTGCTCTGTTATACCACCCATTCTCTCTATCTGTTTAAGCGTATGCAGTACCCTTAGTACGAGTTTGAGCTCGCGAAAACTATCATAGTTTTCGTAATTGTAAATTATGTTTCTATGTCCATTTTGGTGAAAAGTGTCCAAATATTCTTAAAATTTAAGAAGACACAAATGATTTAATGATAGAATTTAAACACTCATGTAATGAGAAGGGACGAGGAGTACCCAGTAAAGAAGGCCCTAGCGATTCCAGAAAGGAGAAAAGGCAGAGGGCGCCCCTTAGCTACGTGGTGGACAACTGTATCCAAAGACCTGGAACGAGCTCAGCTGGACACAAAGATAACCCAGGATAGACTATCCTGGCGCCTAAAGACGAGGAGAGCCGACCCCAAATGAAGGGAAAAGGCAAGGAAGAAGAAGAAGAAGATAGAATTTAAACACTGTTAATTTGTATTGAAACGAAAACAATAAAATCAACGAGTGCGAGCTCACGAAAACAATCATAGTTTTCGTAATTGTAAAACTCGTACTAAGGGTACTGAAGTAATAGTTCAAGTGAAGGGACTACATAAAATTTGTCTTTTGTAGGGACCTGTATAGGGTGATAAAGATGCTATCGTATTTTCTTTTGCAGAGGTGCTACACACTCCAATCTCGTGATTTGCGACCGGAATGGCAAGGTGGTCGGAACAGCAAAAGGTCCAGGCACCAACCATTGGACCCTGGGCATCGACGGATGCTCTAACAGAATTCTGGCTATGGTGCACGAGGCGAAGCAGAACGCTGGCATACCATTGGACAGACCCTTGGATTCTCTGGTGAGATGTTAATAGACTGTAGGTAATAACTTTAAACAATTGGAAGATCACAGTGAAATAACAAATCCTTTTGGTAAAGGTTATCTTACTACTCATCAGTAGTACCACTAACCATTGTTAGTAAGGTTCCAGGACACCATGTTGTAGGAGATAGGGTCAGAGTAGGATGATGGGATAGGGTCCTATTGATGCTCAATATCGCAAGCTAGGGTGACAACGTTATGTTGTTTACTACCGTTTTTACAATAGAAAAAGATGAGGTAATGTTTATTTTCATTCTATTCTTGTTTTTCGTCTTTAAAGTGCAGTGTTTTTCCTTCGATGGTAGGTATTTACATTCGGGAACCCCTTATTCTGAATTCCTACTACTAACCCACTAACACTTCGTAAGCGCGATCCAGATTTTTTTGATTGACGTCACACATGCCATAAGAAATTATCGTCATGTCTTGTGGATACAGTTTTCGTCTGTTGACGTCAGGTTTTGCCGCTAAAATATATAGTTGCCTTAAATAACATCTACTATATAAAAATAAGTCGGGTTTTCCTTCCTGACGCTATAACTCCAGAACGCACGAACCGATTTCCACGGTTTTGCATTCGTTGGAAAGGTCTCGGGCTCCGTGGGGTTTATAGCAAAGAAAATTCAGGAAAAATTATAAAAAAACAACTTCTTTTAATCACCAAACGAAATGTTACATAAAAAGAAGCCATCTGGTGGCGAAACGGAGTTCGCCGGGTTTGCTAGTTGTGTATATAAAGCCCAAATATCCTATTTATCAATTACTGCCACTGCTCTGATAGTAGGTGTGTATTCTCTAAACCAGTCGTGAGATGATCATTAAGTTGAGGGAAAGTAGGTATATAATAAAAATAAAATTGCTTTGGTCTAACTCAACTAATACCTTAGAAATGATGTGGTTCCTTTGTTGGTAAACCGCAAACATTCTTTTTGTTTTCTATAGCTATTTTATAGTTTTCTTAGTAAAACAACATTTTTTTAACGTCATTATTGCTCAGGTGAGCAGAGCACCTCATAGATCCCATGTTAATCAGACATACAGTATCGGCCTTAAAAATTAATGATGTCCTGAAAGTGTAAAGATTTTTGAGCTAAATCGAATCAAATTCAAAATCAATAATGAAACTAAAAAATAAAAAATTGGGCTTACGTGCAGTTCACATGGGATAGAAGTGAAACCCGCAAAATTGTGAATACGTAAAAGTTCTTCATGTCTACTTCTTCTTCTTCCGTCCCTGTTCCCGTTATCTGGGGTCGGGTCTCCTCACTCTACGGCGCCAGGTTGATCTGTCCTGGGTTGTCGGTTTTGGCAATTGGGCTTTCTTAAGGTCTCTTTCGATGTTTGACCACCAGGTCGATGGCGGGCGCCCCTACCTCTCTTTTGTTCTGGCAAGCTTATTGCGATTTTCACTACATGGTCTTCGTCGCGTCTCATGATGTGACCATACCATCCAAGGCGATTTTCCGTCATTTTGTCTGTGATTGGTGCGACTTTAAAACTCCCCCGTACGTACTCATTCCGAACTCTGTCCATCCTGGTCACCCCACCCGCCCAGCGCAGCATCCCGTTTCAAAAGTTCTTCGTGTTATAAAAACTGATTGATTGTATAAATCAGAAGACTGTGAGATATCTGCCACATATTGACAAAATATCGACAGCGGGTAAAAACGGTTAAACCATGTAACCAGTGTTTCAGGAATTTCAAAAATATACTGTTCCAAAAATGTATAATAATGCTAGTAGAAAAAAAGATTGACCGAGCGTAGGATCCAACCACTGATCTTTCGCTATCGACCCCAAAACCGATTTCGTGCGGCTATCTGTCTCATACAGTTTCACAAAATTACGTATACCTACTCTTTTTTTAATACTATACTTCCACTTTCTAAGTCATCTGTGACTTCTGTTTCAGCTAATCTCAAAGTCACTAAAGAAATTTCACTTCAAAAAATTATATTCGGTTCATGATTTGGATGTCGGACAGGGCCAATGGAATAGATTTTCATTTGTAATCAATCATGTTTTAATTAAATATTTTTTAAAGAAGGATACGAGGAATAAATGTCAATGTTGTAAATTATTATGTGTACTAATACATTCTCACTTCTGAAGAGTACTCTTACTTCACTAGTCATGAGTGTCATGACCACATAACAGTTTTTCGATAGAAATAGTTTCCTGCTATTTAACTGCTAACTTTTTTCCGCCCTTTACCACCTGGTGTCTAAACGACCGCTCCCCTCGCTTTACCCTTGGGCAAAAACAAAACTGCTGCTGTCATCCACAACATCTAATAAGTCTAATCCATAAATAACCTACTATAATGTCAACTAAGAACAGGACCGACTGGGCGCCATATTTTGACGTCATAGCTGTCAATTCAAACCAAATAGGTAGAGAGAGCAAAAAAATGTTGCTATTTAATAAAACTTATTTACTAAGATTAAGTGAGACAAAGCATCAGATTTTTTTAATAAAATTAATTTAGTAAGGTTGAGAAAGAATACAACCGATTTTTAATAGTACTTCTTTATTAAGACTGCGTGAAAAAAATACATTATCAGAATCTAGCTCATCAATTTTGCTCATCACTGCATTACCTCCGGAGAAGTTATATATACATGTTGTTTACATATAGGATGCATGTCACATATGTAAACATGCATCCTATATGTAAACAAAAGTTTTAAATCGAGTTTTTGAACGCAACATAAAGTGACATTTGGTTGACGATTTAGGTTATCGACCATTCATAGCCAAAGCTCAATAAATGAAAAAAAAAACAACTAATACTAATTATCAACATTTGTTTTTGTTTGTTTAAAAATGTTTGGTTTTTATTCTAGAATCAGCTGAGTGCTAAAAAAATGTTCCGAGATTTTTTTGCAAACCGTACTTTTCAAGCGACATTTGACAGATGGAGGTCATTGGCTTTCCTATTCTTATTTGAATCGCATTATAAAATCCACGCTCTAAAGTTTGCGTGCTGCGCCTCGCTTACACAAAAACATAATGTTTGACACTTTAAATATAGATTAATCTCTGTAATCATGTTGTGGTTAGGTGACCATGCTACGGAGGAACACCCAAAACCCAGTAGACTAGAAAATATAATATTTCCCTCATTCGATTGAAACAGGACCGAGGACAGGTGGCGACACCCTAAAAATCTGTATTCCAACTCGACCAAGCGGATCGCCGTTAGGGTGGGTTACCAGATGACATACAGCCGAGCATTTCTGGGAACTATGTTCTTCTTTGCCGATTCACTCTTGACAGAGCGGTCGTGGTCATCAGGTAGCGGTCAGGATCCGGGCAGCCATAATCCTCTTCACGATGCGACGCCATCCTTCCCTGTCGGTTGTGCTACGTGTGCACTCGTGCGCTGGGCCGCCTACTGCCGATTTGATCTGGTCGGTCCAGCGCATGGGCGACCTGCCACGTGCCCTCGTGCCTTCGACCTTCCCCTGTACTACAAGACGCTCTATGGACGTGTTGTCCCGTCGTGAAACGTGCCCAAAGAACTGTAGTATTCGAGTCTGGACTACGTTTGTTAGACGCTGTTTGACACTGACAGTTCTTGGAGAATAGATGCATTGGTGCGAAACTCTGTCCACTTCACTCCAAGCATCTTCCTCCAGCACCACATCTCTACTATGTTACTAACTTGTAAAACAAAATGTTCGCAAATCACAAGACAAGAATCAAAACAAATCGCCCGCGACGCAGATTCAAGGCTGTATCCATTACTTGCGTTTACGTCTCAATTACAATTAATAATGAGCAATAAATAACATGATCGTGCTCCCTAGGGTCTGACGCAGTCTTTGGTTCATAAAGAAACTCTTTACAAAGTATAAACAACATCGCTCCCGCTGTCTGCATGCTTAAATCTTTAACTAGGTACGCAACGAATTACAATGCAGTTTTCTGCAAAATGTTAGCGATTTCAGAAATCAGAAATCAATATATCTTTATTCAAATTGAATGTATATATAGTACAACTCTTTTGAATCGTCCAAAATTTTTTTCCCTACCACTCGTTATGGACATATTTTTTAGCTGCGGAGAAAAACGAGCGAAACAAACTCCACAACATTAAAAGTCTAATGTAACAACATTTACAAATCATTATGTTGTTACAACGGCAATACAGTTATGATTTATTTAATACTAGCTGTTACCCGCGGCTACGCTCGCATGGTTTTCCTATTTGAGGCTATCATCCTCTTTTGATATAGTGAGTAAAAAAGTAGCTTATAGCAACCCAAAGCTTCAACCTATTAGTGCAGTCATTGAAGCGAAAAATACGGTCTTACCTCCGAATTTTTTTACTGTGAACCGTTTTGCATGAAATTTTGGAATTAGGCTCACCTTACCCTTAACTTCAAAAGTGAAAATGATCTGAACTCCGCCTATTATTTTTAGGGGGTGTAAACAACCCCTTAATGGAAAAATTGACATTGAGCCATTTCAGCAGGTAAGCAACAGCAAGCAGTAGGTACCTACCTACCTTGATTGATTTTAAAGAAATACGATTTACCAAGGTACCATATCTGTTTTTGTTTTCCTTTGTGATTTGGTTTTGTTGTGCATTAAATGAATTAGGTAGGTATTTTGGTAGTTTCTTCAAATGTATAAAATTGACTCACTGATAAAAAATATGGAAAAACACATAACATCGTGTACAGTAGCGTACTTAAATAGTACTGCTATGTGTTTAAAATAATTAAACCCTTTATTCTAATAATACTAATGCTTTTACATTTTGAAGTTTTATTACGTACTATCCATAGTAGTATTAGGTATTATTATGAGAGTGTTTGTTTTTTTTTATCCTTCCTCGAAGCCTAAACCACTTTGAAATTTGGTAAGTATATATTGCAGTCATCGAAGCATTATTACTCCGATTTTTTTTACTGTGAACCGAATTGCATACAATTTTGGAATTAGGTTCATCTTACCCTTAACTTCAAAAGTGAAAATGATGGTTGCCACCCCTTCTGGGGGGTGATTTTTTTTTTCAAAATAAGTATTGTAATAAATTTTAAGCAAAAAATCATCTATAAAGTTTTTCAAAAAATCCAATACTTTTCAAGTTATTGGCAATTGAAAATTCGGAATTTTTCCCCGTTTTTCATCGGTTTTTTGCAAATATCTCCAAAAATGTAAGTTTTATCGACAATTTTATAAAGAACAAAATTGTAGCAGGTAAAACAATGAACAATTTGATTTTTTTATAGAGCATTCTAAGTGCAATAATAAGCTAGATATGAAAGATCAAAGCCGTTTTTTATTTTGTCTGAAATTTAATCGATGTGGTCGATGCCATCTAGCGGCGAGCAGATGCATTTTATGCATTCTAATACAAAATCTTTTTATGTCATACCAAAGTATTTTTTTGTGATTTTTTAAATTTAGGGGTTGTTTGCAAGGGTTGTAAGATTTTCAAGGGGTTGAAAATGATTTTAATATGGGGTAATTATGTTAGAAAATACTTTACAATTTCATCACTTACTATTAGACATGTTTTCTAGATATAAAATGGCTCAATGTCAATTTTTCCATTAAGGGGTTGTTTACATCCCTTAAAAATAATAGGCGGAGTTCAGATCATTTTCACTTTTGAAGTTAAGGGTAAGGTGAGCCTAATACCAAAATTTCATGCAAAACGGTTCACAGTAAAAAAATTCGGAGGTAAGACCGTATTTTTCGCTTCAATGACTGCACTAATAGGTTGAAGCTTTGGGTTGCTATAAGCTACTTTTTTACTCACTATGTCAAAAGAGGATGATAGCCTCAAATAGGAAAACCACGCGAGCGTAGCCGCGGGTAACAGCTAGTTAAAAACAATAAATATAAAAAAGTAATGTTCATGAATAGCGCCATCCGAAAAACCTCAGATTTTTAGTGCAAGTAAACTCGACTCGGGTAGCGACATCTCTTCAGTTTCACACGCAACAGCTTGGTTTTCGAATTGTTATTCGAGTTGGTAGCGCCTACCTCTACTCAACATCCAGGATCATCTCCACTTGAAAATTATTGGATAATACTCGATTAAGGGACTAAAATAAATCATAACAGCTGTTTATTTAATATCTGTCTACTGTAAACAGCAGATTATTTAATATCTATTTGATGTTTATAAGATTTTCTGGTAAGATATTAGGACACTGAAGGAAGTCGTTTTTTTTTTGTACTAATATTGTTTTAATTAAAATATCTACCTACATAACGTTAAAATTAACAATAAATATTAAAAAGTCATGTTCATAAATAGCGGACCAGGCAGCAGACGGGACTCGAACCTGCACCCTTCGCTTTCCGGGCGAATGCACTGACCAATTATGCTACCGCGGCACTGACGGCCGCGTCGAAATTCTTCTACCTATTCTTAAGCTGCAAGGCAGCGCCATCTCTTCGCATTATAGGTAACCCAACATATATATAGGTAACCCCCGGATAGCGAAGGGTGCGGGTTCGAGTCCCGTCTGCTGCCTGATGCGCGTGGCTGTTTTTCTAGTTATATTGTCTTTAGATTTAAACATCAAGCAGTTACATGTCACAAATCACCTATAAAAACTGCGTACAAACTTTTTGCTCAATATAATATCTCTTATCTATTAGACAAGTCCGTCCGTCTGTGGTGCTGTTTCAGCGGCCAAACCGTAAGAGATAGATAAAGAGAATATTTAAGTTATAAGTTAAGAATAGTCTGATAAGACTACAAACCGGATTTGAGTAACGTAGTACTTCCGGTTTTCGAGAAAAAAAATGTTTTAATTAATTGAGAACTTCGGAGATTTTGTGTGGTTTCGTTTGAAATTGGTGATTTCTCGAAAACCGGAAGTGCTACGTTACTCAAATCCGGTTTGTAGTCTTATAAGGCTATTCTTAACTTATAACTTAAACATTCTCTTTATCTATCTCTTACGGTTTGGCCGCTGAAACAGCACCACAGACAGACGGACGGACTTGTCTAATAGATAAGAGATACCTATGTTGGGGACCGTAAAACACTTAAATTGCAAGGTGGGCCGATATATCTTGACGTTAGACGCATAATGTCTCATGTTAACATCAGAAAAAAATCACTTTTTTAGACAAGCGAAATAAGCTTTTCGAGCTCTTTCTAACCTACCAACAATCATGTTTCTATCACTTTACCTTGTGTAGTTTTTCGAGTTGCATAAGGTGATATGTCGAAAAATTATTAATTTAAATAGAGGAATAAAGTTTCACGTTGACTTCAGTTTTTCAGAATATTGAGTTGAGTTTTAAGGCTTCGAAATATTTTCTGTCTGTCTGTCAAGATATGTGTCTGAAATTTTTAATACTTTGAGTCACGGGGAAATCATCCTTTATAGAGGCGGAGAGGGGGAAGGATAGCAGTTTATATAGGTATCAAATGAACTATTTACGCGAATATGGGTATGCATTTACCCAGATAAACCTACTTTCTTATAATTAGGACGGTACAATTAAAAAATATGTCTAAATACCCGTATAAGTAGGCCCAAGGAAATGTAATAATTATTATAGAGGATACTTTCAGGGATTGTATTAAAAATATCCATATTCTAGTTATTTTGTTTTTCTCCTAAGTAGTCGTAGTAGTTCTATATATGACGGCTATTTACCTGAAAGTCGCGTAATCAATCCGAGTTTCCGATATTTCAGCACTGTTGCATGCGCCATGATCACGGAGTAACTTACTCCGTGAAAGTTTGTAACTTACTCTGTGATCATGGATGGCGCTTGCAACAGTGGTAACAATCCCGTTAATAACATATACTACTATAATTTTAGTGACCATGAAAGTTTAAAACAATGTATGTCCAACTAAAAAAATAACTTTAATACAAAGATTTTCAGAAAATTTATTTTCACACTTATCTGGGTTAAATACGAAAAATAATAAAATAACGAGCCCTTACCGCCAAATTATCGTAAGCGACACTTTTGTCGAAATGCATTTTTTGTGGAAACTAATATTTTAAACCGTAACGGACCCATCTCTGGTGATATTTCCCTCCAAAAGAACACCGTTATAATATAATAGAGGGAAGAATAGAGGGAAATATCAACAGAGATGGGTCCGTTACGGTTTAAAATATTAGTTTCCACAAAAAACGCATTTCGACAAAAGTGTCGCTTACGATAATTTGGCGAGTGTCGCTTACGATAATTTGGCGGTAAGGGCTCGATAATATGATAATTAATATAAAAAATTAATACTTTTTTAATATGATTATTGCTCCCTAGGGCCTGACGCTGTCGGGGTGCGAGCAGGAGAGCAGTAACGCCGAGCTGGCGGCGTGTGTGAGGGAGAAAGACGCTAACTGCGCGCGCGCAATCTACGTCGCATCTGATACCGCCGGCTCGCTGTTCACTGGCGCCCCTGATGGCGGCATGGTGGTTATAGCTGGTAAGAAAAATGCTGGTGGTAGAGTGAGCGGAAGGGCATGGCGAGGCCGGGCGGCTGTCCCGGATTGACTGTCTGGCGTCTTGGTGGTTATAGCTGGTAAGAAAAATCCTGGTGGTAGAGTGAGCGGAAGGGCATGGCGAGGCCGGGCGGCTATCCCGGATTGACTGTCTGGCGTCTTGGTGGTTATAGCTGGTAAGAAAAATGCTGGTGGTAGAGTGAGCGGAAGGGCATGGCGAGGCCGGGCGGCTGTCCCGGATTGACTGTCTGGCGTCTTGGTGGTTATAGCTGGTAAGAAAAATGCTGGTGGTAGAGTGAGCGGAAGGGCATGGCGAGGCCGGGCGGCTATCCCGGATTGACTGTCTGGCGTCTTGGTGGTTATAGCTGGTAAGAAAAATGCTGGTGGTAGAGTGAGCGGAAGGGCATGGCGAGGCCGGGCGGCTGTCCCGGATTGACTGTCTGGCGTCTTGGTGGTTATAGCTGGTAAGAAAAATGCTGGTGGTAGAGTGAGCGGAAGGGCATGGCGAGGCCGGGCGGCTGTCCCGGATTGACTGTCTGGCGTCTTGGTGGTTATAGCTGGTAAGAAAAATGCTGGTGGTAGAGTGAGCGGAAGGGCATGGCGAGGCCGGGCGGCTATCCCGGATTGACTGTCTGGCGTCTTGGTGGTTATAGCTGGTAAGAAAAATGCTGGTGGTAGAGTGAGCGGAAGGGCATGGCGAGGCCGGGCGGCTGTCCCGGATTGACTGTCTGGCGTCTTGGTGGTTATAGCTGGTAAGAAAAATGCTGGTGGTAGAGTGAGCGGAAGGGCATGGCGAGGCCGGGCGGCTGTCCCGGATTGACTGTCTGGCGTCTTGGTGGTTATAGCTGGTAAGAAAAATGCTGGTGGTAGAGTGAGCGGAAGGGCATGGCGAGGCCGGGCGGCTGTCCCGGATTGACTGTCTGGCGTCTTGGTGGTTATAGCTGGTAAGAAAAATGCTGGTGGTAGAGTGAGCGGAAGGGCATGGCGAGGCCGGGCGGCTATCCCGGATTGACTGTCTGGCGTCTTGGTGGTTATAGCTGGTAAGAAAAATGCTGGTGGTAGAGTGAGCGGAAGGGCATGGCGAGGCCGGGCGGCTATCCCGGATTGACTGTCTGGCGTCTTGGTGGTTATAGCTGGTAAGAAAAATGCTGGTGGTAGAGTGAGCGGAAGGGCATGGCGAGGCCGGGCGGCTGTCCCGGATTGACTGTCTGGCGTCTTGGTGGTTATAGCTGGTAAGAAAAATGCTGGTGGTAGAGTGAGCGGAAGGGCATGGCGAGGCCGGGCGGCTATCCCGGATTGACTGTCTGGCGTCTTGGTGGTTATAGCTGGTAAGAAAAATGCTGGTGGTAGAGTGAGCGGAAGGGCATGGCGAGGCCGGGCGGCTGTCCCGGATTGACTGTCTGGCGTCTTGGTGGTTATAGCTGGTAAGAAAAATGCTGGTGGTAGAGTGAGCGGAAGGGCATGGCGAGGCCGGGCGGCTGTCCCGGATTGACTGTCTGGCGTCTTGGTGGTTATAGCTGGTAAGAAAAATGCTGGTGGTAGAGTGAGCGGAAGGGCATGGCGAGGCCGGGCGGCTATCCCGGATTGACTGTCTGGCGTCTTGGTGGTTATAGCTGGTAAGAAAAATGCTGGTGGTAGAGTGAGCGGAAGGGCATGGCGAGGCCGGGCGGCTGTCCCGGATTGACTGTCTGGCGTCTTGGTGGTTATAGCTGGTAAGAAAAATGCTGGTGGTAGAGTGAGCGGAAGGGCATGGCGAGGCCGGGCGGCTGTCCCGGATTGACTGTCTGGCGTCTTGGTGGTTATAGCTGGTAAGAAAAATGCTGGTGGTAGAGTGAGCGGAAGGGCATGGCGAGGCCGGGCGGCTATCCCGGATTGACTGTCTGGCGTCTTGGTGGTTATAGCTGGTAAGAAAAATGCTGGTGGTAGAGTGAGCGGAAGGGCATGGCGAGGCCGGGCGGCTGTCCCGGATTGACTGTCTGGCGTCTTGGTGGTTATAGCTGGTAAGAAAAATGCTGGTGGTAGAGTGAGCGGAAGGGCATGGCGAGGCCGGGCGGCTGTCCCGGATTGACTGTCTGGCGTCTTGGTGGTTATAGCTGGTAAGAAAAATGCTGGTGGTAGAGTGAGCGGAAGGGCATGGCGAGGCCGGGCGGCTGTCCCGGATTGACTGTCTGGCGTCTTGGTGGTTATAGCTGGTAAGAAAAATGCTGGTGGTAGAGTGAGCGGAAGGGCATGGCGAGGCCGGGCGGCTGTCCCGGATTGACTGTCTGGCGTCTTGGTGGTTATAGCTGGTAAGAAAAATGCTGGTGGTAGAGTGAGCGGAAGGGCATGGCGAGGCCGGGCGGCTGTCCCGGATTGACTGTCTGGCGTCTTGGTGGTTATAGCTGGTAAGAAAAATGCTGGTGGTAGAGTGAGCGGAAGGGCATGGCGAGGCCGGGCGGCTATCCCGGATTGACTGTCTGGCGTCTTGGTGGTTATAGCTGGTAAGAAAAATGCTGGTGGTAGAGTGAGCGGAAGGGCATGGCGAGGCCGGGCGGCTGTCCCGGATTGACTGTCTGGCGTCTTGGTGGTTATAGCTGGTAAGAAAAATGCTGGTGGTAGAGTGAGCGGAAGGGCATGGCGAGGCCGGGCAGCTATCCCGGATTGACTGTCTGGCGTCTTGGTGGTTATAGCTGGTAAGAAAAATGCTGGTGGTAGAGTGAGCGGAAGGGCATGGCGAGGCCGGGCGGCTGTCCCGGATTGACTGTCTGGCGTCTTGGTGGTTATAGCTGGTAAGAAAAATGCTGGTGGTAGAGTGAGCGGAAGGGCATGGCGAGGCCGGGCGGCTATCCCGGATTGACTGTCTGGCGTCTTGGTGGTTATAGCTGGTAAGAAAAATGCTGGTGGTAGAGTGAGCGGAAGGGCATGGCGAGGCCGGGCGGCTGTCCCGGATTGACTGTCTGGCGTCTTGGTGGTTATAGCTGGTAAGAAAAATGCTGGTGGTAGAGTGAGCGGAAGGGCATGGCGAGGCCGGGCGGCTATCCCGGATTGACTGTCTGGCGTCTTGGTGGTTATAGCTGGTAAGAAAAATGCTGGTGGTAGAGTGAGCGGAAGGGCATGGCGAGGCCGGGCGGCTGTCCCGGATTGACTGTCTGGCGTCTTGGTGGTTATAGCTGGTAAGAAAAATGCTGGTGGTAGAGTGAGCGGAAGGGCATGGCGAGGCCGGGCGGCTGTCCCGGATTGACTGTCTGGCGTCTTGCCCGTCCTGGTCAGGGGCAGTAATGGCCGCCGTCGTCGTTGACATCATTGCCCTGGTCTGGCTTCTCGTTCTTACCATGGGCTGGGTCAGTTTTATCGAAAGACCACTTGTCTGGTCGTTGGAGTCGTCGTCTTTATATAGTCGTGGAAGTCGGTGGAACGAAACTTGGCAGTCACCGCCGTCCTGTCTCGTAGTCCATTGTCATCTTTTTTTTTGTCAATTCTGTCATGATGTCCGTCTGTCATATGTAGGCTAGTCAGTCAGTCCAAGGAGACCGAACGCCGCGACAGTAATGTTCTGCCTCATCCGGTGCTGAAGATTCCTTATTTAACATCTCTTATTAAGAAAATATGGCTAGAAAAGAAATCACGCACCCTTCGCTATCCGGCGAATGCACTGACCAATTATGCTACCGCGGCCCTGATGGCCGCGTCGAAATTCTTCTAGCCATTCTTAAGCTGCAAGGCAGCGCCATCTCTTCGCATTGTAGGTAATCCTAATGCTGCCTGGTCCGCGTGGAATTTTTGCTAGTTATATTTTCTTTGGATTTAAACATCAGCAGTTATATGTAATCTCTTATTAACTTTTATTGTACTTACTTGGTCAATTCAGTCATGGATTATTTACGGATACTGTTATGTACTATGTTGTATACCTACGCATTACGTGTGTTCATATATATTTTGAATAATATAGGTGGTGCACATAATTTCTATTGGAGTTTACACGAGGGTAATAAATACGGAGGAGCTCGATGGTGCAGGTGGTAAGCGCGATCGGCTGCGATCGTTGAAGTTAAGCAACTTTCGCAGTGGTCGGTCATTGGATGGGTGACCAAAAATTTACAATCTCGAGCTCCTCCGTGCTTCGGAAGGCACGTTAAGCCGTTGGTTCTGACTGCATCTACAGTCGTTAGCACCCGCCAATCCGCACTGGGCCCGCGTGGTGAGCCATAGCCTAATCTCCCTGTTCCATCCATAGGGAAGGCCTGTGCCCCAGCAGTGGGGACATTAATAGGCTGATGATGATGAATAAATATAATGATTGTGAATATTGCCAGATATCTATAATGCGATTCAAATAAGAATAGGACTGACTGGACGCCATATTGTGATGTCATAGCTGTTAATGGGGGCTACCGTTTTCTGTCTCACCAGATGGCGCCACTGTTGAGTGAAGTCCTAAATTGTAACTTTTAAAGTTTATTAATACGCACATGAAATCGAAGGTTACATTTAGATCGTATTTTAACTCAAAAGAACCATATCCTAAACATAATAGGCCATGCCACAGTGACGCGCAGTTCCGTTTTATTCGGAAAAAATGGGAACATAATCATTTTTCTAAGCTCAAATTTTTAATAACTGACATTCATTGCCACATAACTCATATTTGCCATAATTAAGCCGAATTGTTACCAATTATTCATAACATTATTTTAATAAGAAATAAACCCGCGTAGTCAACCAACAAGCAATAACATTTGACGTTTCGGAGACCTCACGCTACACTAGCGCCTCTAGCGGCGGATTCATACGCGATAGCCCTCATTCAAACCAAATAGGTAGAGCGAGCAAAAAAAAGTGGCTATTTAATAAAACTTATTTACTAAGATTAAGTGAGAAAAAGCATCACATTCTTTAATAACATTTATTTACTTAGATTGAGAAAAATACACCATTTTTAGGGTTCCGTACCTCAAAAGGAAAAACGGAACCCTTATAGGATCACTTTGTTGTCCGTCTGTCC